CTTTCAGAGACTCTGAGAGACTGAACATTTGTATCTCGAGTTTTAGTTGATATTACAAATTTAATTGTAATAATTAAGAAACTTCAAATAATTTTTAAAGAAACATGTCAAAATTGAGATTATCACAAGTTACCTAATAAATTCTACTATTTCTACGGCAATCTCTGTTATTTACAATCGAAAATTGTAATTTTTGCGTTGTCATAAAAATTTAATTTTCTCCGTAGACAACTATAAAAACATACCTATCTCGATGATCCTGACAAATAATTAAGTGTGGCGTTCGTACTCCAGCCCAAAGCGTATGATTCTTCTCGGTTGTCCAGTCAATGATTCCAACATACTTCTTCACAGATATATCAGGATGGTCCTGCCAGGATTCCCAACGAATTATTTGGTCCTGTCAACGCTCTCAACGAATTTTTCAAGAACGTCCTCCCGAGTTATAGCAACCACTTAGTTATTTATTTTTATTCCAACGAATTTTCTCAGTGGTCCTTTTGAAGGCTTGAAGAGTATCTTGCTATCCTACCAATGGAATTAAAAATTCTCGTAAATGTTCTTGTTAACAACATTAAAAACATACCCACTCTTCTTGGTTGTCCAGTCAAAGATTCCAATAAATTTCTTCAGTGATATTGTGAATGTTTTCAATGAATTTCTTCTGTAATTTAATGAATTCCGGTTCTCTTATTCTAAGGAGTTAAAAAACTAATTAATTACATCAATGATTTTGTCACGGGCTTATAGAAGTATTTTATTGTTCTTCGGTTAATGGATTGGGGAATAAACTCTGTAGTCCTGCTAAGTATAGTAGATCCTTCCGATGTCTGAAGAAATTTAGTCGGTGATAAGACTAATGAACAAAAAGGGTTCACTTGACCATTGATCCTGTTAAGGTTTTAAAAAATGAACGTAAATAAAATAAGGTAGTAGTAGTAGTAGCGGCAATGAAGCAAATAAAGCCAGAAACAACCGAATATCCTCGGTTGTCTTGTCAAAGATTCTATGAATTTTTTTGTAATATTACTAATACATTTACTTAATTTCTTCAACTGCGATTATTAAGAAGTTCCGGTTGCTTTATACCATTGCATTAAATCTTGGTAAGGGCTTATACGAGGTATCTGAGTGATCCTCGACCAGCGGATTAAGAATATAAACCCTATGGCTTCCAAAATATGGTAGGATTTTGTTCATTATCCTGCCAAGCACTCAAAGAATTTAGTCGGTAGTAACCTTAAAGTACAAAAACGGTTGACTTGTCGCCTGTTAATACTTAATACAAAATTTATGTAAATAAAATAATGTAACAATTACAACAATGAAGGTTTCTGTCTTATGCCTAGAATGTGGTAAAAGTTTATATATCTAATATTCGCGTCGCGAAGATAGTTATTTTTGTCTACAATAAATAAGAGAGCGTTGTAGAGAAAACATTAAAAAGCTAAAACAATGGCAATTTATGTTAACTAACATTCTGAAACCGTGTTTGACAGCTGTTGAATATGTTAAATATACGACACCAAGCAGCTAACCACTCTCTCATTATTAATGTCTGAGTGCTGTTGTTCAAAATGTTTCTCAACGTTTACTAAAAATTTAGATAAGTGAAAGGAATATGGTTAACACACATTATAATTTCTATTTATAAATCACAAGAACCATGTTGTCATGGTGTATCGGTAGGTGGTAAACTATGCTGAAAATAGAGCTTATATACTGGGTGAATGTGTTCCTCAATTTTATGTTTTATTTGTCTTTTTACATGAGGGACTTTATATGAGCCTCGAGTTGGTACAAACAATGAAAATATGTTATTATTTGGAAAACTATTATGTACATAAAAACATTTCAAACTAAATTTTAAATAAAAATTAAAAGGATCAAACTTCGAAGGAACACCCCCCAATAAATTAATGTAATCGGCCATTCGCACAGTAGAATTTCCTTTTAAATGCAAGTGAATTAGTACTTTTATTTTTTCTATAGAAACGTCTTCACACTGAGACATTTATTAAGAGTTTCGGAAGCTACAGTGTGAAAAGAATGATTTTTGCACAAAAAAAGATATGTAATTGAACGAGACACATTTTCAAAATTTGATTGTTAATACAACGCTAATTTTAATTCTTATTCGAATTAAGTACAGTATGTCAAGATTTACTTCAACTATGCATGACGGTGTTAATTAACTAACATCTATGCTTAAAATAATTTTCAACCAATTTTACAAACCATTACACAGACGCTGTTTAGGTACAATTATCAATTTAACTCCTCTCTGTAATTAACGTTTTAAAGTGGTGTTTTCAGCACGTTAATTTTCTGGACTATAAAACTGAACGCCGTTTCCTTGACTTTCAATTACACAGCCGTGATGTCATCTAATACATTTTACTATCTCCTTTCCGTGCTTTCTGAACGAAATGTAACACTTCTAAAACAATATCTAATTCTCTTGAATGTAAAACAAAAACAATGAGAGACGCACTGCGGTCAAGTAGCTTTTTGGTTATTTAATCAGAGCGGTAGATCAAGTTATTGCTTGAGCGAACACGGTGAAAAGATTGTATGTACCTAATAGAATAGCAGCACCCGAAAAGCAGAAGCAGTAGCCTTTGTGATCAAATGTATTGTTGAAAATTATGGTGTGTAACTATTTCAAAATATCACGCAAACGCAGTGGCGCCATCCGAGAGATTGAAAAATCTGAAAACATTTTTGATCTTGATCTGTTTTTACTCAAGGAATTAATTCATTAACGAAATCCATATTTTAAAAACGATTAAATCAAATTTAAAAAGGCATAGCAAATACCTGTACGTAAAATGAAAAATTGTATCTAATAAGATAATTGAATTAAAAATTGAAGATATTCCAACAATACCCTGGACAAAAATTTTCAGTCTCTCTCCAGTCTCTCAGAGTCTTTCAGCGTCTCTGAGAGCGTCTCTCACAGTCTCATAGAGAGACTGAATGAATAAAACTGAAATATTGAGAGACTTGAGTCTCTCGTAGAAAGACTGGGATCTTTGAAATATGTTGAACTTAGAAAATTTTAACAATGTCTATCGCGACATCACTTACTGAGAGATTCGAGTCTCTCGTTCAGAGACGCTAAACAGTTTTTTTGACAGTCTCTCGACAGTCTCTCTCAGCGACACCAGAGAGACTCGATGAGAGACGGAGACTCGAGTCTCCCTTTCAGAGACTGAACATTTTTATCTCGGGTAGTATTCTAAATATAATATATGTATGCTATATGACTACAATTTCCTTAAAGTAAAATTTATTGTTATTAGTTACTGAAATATTTACTAGAATAGATTAATAATTTTCGCCATGTCGGATTAATTTCTGTTCTAATCATTGATGCTATAGCTTTCCAATTCTTTTTTTTTTCTCTTCGCATTACTTTCGTCATTTACGCAACATTGATATATTCAATTTAATGAAAAGTTAATGATAGACACTTAAAACAAGTAGATAGACGTGATAGGGCAAATTTTATTATTACATGCACGCGTTAGCACTTAACAAACCTGACGAAGTGAATAATTTCTTGGTGTTCAAATTATACCCACCTCGAGGTTTCTTACATATTCTAAATAAATAATTAACGCTGTAGAGTACAGTGGCGCACATGGGGTAGCTACAGGCTGAATGACCTTACAAATCAAGTGTTATAGGCATTCGACAAACACTTACAGTAGATGTAACAAATTGTAATGATTGATTCTAAGAGAACCTTGGTACACATATATTTCTAAGATTGAATTGAATTTCGGGAGCGCCTGGATAAAATAGAATTAAATATGATGAACTTATAAATGTTACTTTGGGGGTTGACATACACCGTCATATGCATATCATAAGACAAAAATAGAAGTAATGAAACTATAAATATCGAGAGACAAAAAAATTAAGTTTAGGTGATTGTTGATGAACTGTGACACTTATTTAAGACGCAAGCGAATCCGTGGGCTAAACCTACCATAAAATTTTGTATACACATTTTTAGGGGTACAGAAAAGGACATAGAAAAAAGAATACTGTTCCCAAAGGATAAAAAAATTAGGTTTATGTAGTCTTCGATGGTCTTTGACACGTATTTATAAAAAAAAATTAAAAATTAAAAACTAGTTAAAATTTGATTTACTTAAAAAAAATCACCCATTTTTGATTAAAAAAAATCATTACTTTTATCAACCTTGCAGTATTGTTTATAGTTCCAGTAACATAATTGTTTTAACATCTGGAAAAAATATGAGATTATAAAGTACATATATAAATTCTGCTTCGGTCATTTTTGAAAAATAGCGCCCATTAATACAGAAACACTGATATTTGACACTCT